GGTTATCGAACAACAATTTGTCCATTTGACCATTTAATAACAGATGACCAGACCAAACGATTGGTTGAAGCTAGTTACTGTGGATACGATATGTTCTATTTTAAAATTAATTTAGTTACAAATAGTTCTTTTGTTTGTGGCTCAGGAGGCGGGGAGTGTGGGAAAAATTGTAGTCCTTAACACAGAATAGCTGCTGAGAAAGCCAGATGAGCCTTGTGAGTCTACGCACAAAACCCTGCTACAAATTATTGGCTTTATTGGGCAAATGTTTCAAGCTAAACTGAACGCCAGTGAAAGAAAAGGGAAACCAAACACCACGCCTATTCATGTCACTTATGAATGCTTTTCAAGACTCAATGTCAATGGCTTAGTTCTCATTGTTTCCAAAACACATCTCCAATTAATATTTCTCAGTTTTCGAAAATGTTGACGCGAACCCAACAAGTCTAAAGAAAAGACTGAGTTAGCAGTAACTTGTCAGAACTGTCAATCATGTCTTGACGTACATTCCTCTGTGTGCTTATCATTTTGTTTCATTGATTACTCAGCAAAAGTTGTGAAGAAAATTATAATTAAATAATATTTCTTCATTAATATATCCACCATGATTTATTGCTCTTCCAGCTGTAAAAGCATGTTCTGTACTATGTTCTATATAAATTCATGATTGTTATTATTAAAACCAAGAGTATAATTATAATTATATTTATAATTGTTGTACTTCATGCTCATGTCGTATACAGTAATCAAAACATTTTTTTTTCACCAAATGAACATCATCGTTTTTGTGTACAGTTCAGTCACACGGTTCCACCAATTTAAAAAGGATTTTCTGATTTTTTTTTTTTTTTTTACATTGCTTTGTCAAAAAAATTTAATATGGTTTATTACATTCTGAGTTCTAAGTTAAAGGTGGTAAAAAATACATTGTATTTTAAAATATCTGAACATAAAAACATTCTTTCAAGTTTTATACATTAATAAATAATGTTACTTGTCACTTTTCCATTTGACTGTCTTCAATCTTTGTTTCACCTGGATACATTTTTTAATTGGTATGTTATAAATTTCTGTTATTTTGTTATTGTTATTACTAAAAGTGATATTTTTTTACAATGCTTTGTCACACATTTAAAATCACATTCCTGACAAAATTTCACTAAAAAAGAATTTTTTTAGAAAATATGCATATGCATTACTCTAATTATTATAAACAATGGAAAAATATTGGCATAAATTTTAGTTTTACGCAAAAGAATAAAAAAAATGAGAAATACAGACTAATTCTCATAGGAGATTACCATTTTCTCAACAAATTCTTCGTTACTAGGCATATTCAGAGTTTGTAGATCGCATCCGCTGGAATGCTCTCGCTTTATGTATACTTTAATAAATGCAATTAGTTTTTGTACTTCGCATTCGCACACTGCGGTCGATCTAGTAGGCCTGAGATATGTTTGTTTAATTGTCAAAATCTTAGAATAATTTTTTTAACAGATTTGAAATAATTCCTATTAAATATTATGTTTCATAAGTGTAAGTACTAGCAACAGAAAATATCATGTCGGCCGTTTTTATGTGTGATAACTGAATCTAAATCGAGGTAAGGCTAGGCCTAGCCTAGCAGTGTTGGATAGGGTAATGTTTCCGGTGCCTGCTATATTTCTTCGCAGACCTATCGCAAAATCAAACATCAAAAATTTATCCGCATTTATTTTTTGTGTGGAACACAAACAATTAAATTTCAGTCTTATTTCACATTTTTTTCATGTTTAGGAATGTCTAAATTCAGTTAAACTAGCAATTTTGTATTAAATTTATAAACCTTTATAACTAACATATAAAAATCAGATTTCTTAACTGAAATTTTGCCAGGAATGGGGCTTTAATATGGTTTATTCTGTGTTCTAAGTTTAATTATTAAGTCTAATTAAAAATTAAATTTCAATCTTATTTTACATTTTTTTCATGTTTAGGAATGTCTAAATTCAGTTAAACTAGCAATTTTGTATTATATTTATAAACCTTTATAACTAACATATATAAAAATCAAATTTCTTAACAACGGAAATTTTGCCAGGAATGGGGCTTTAATATAGTTTATTCTGTGTTCTAAGTTTAATACATTATACAGTATTTTATAATATCTGAACATATAAATATTTAAGTTTTATACTTTAAAACATATTTAAAATAATAAAATATAAACATAAATCAGTACATTGACTATTTGAAAATTTAGTATTTTTTATTATATTATTAATATATAATTTTTGATTACTATTATAGTTAATTACTTCATTATTGTTTTATTAATAATATATTTATTTTTATAGTTATGCATACATTTATTGTTTTTATTTACAAAGAGGAGATAGAAATACATTCTAAAATGCTTCATTTTACCCTAGGTTTACTGTCTTATGTAATGAGTTTAGCATGGCCTAGATGAAGTAGTCTTCTGTCTACTATTATTATTAATAGTCGTAGTGCATTATAAATGATTTAGCATCATACAAGAACTGGCTTCACTCTGATGCACTTTTGTGTCACCTCAACTGGTTCAATATTTGTAGGATTATTGTTTTGGCAGAAGTATTGATCAGAAGTCCTTATCAGCTTCACATTATTGGCCTACAAACCTTGTTACAATGTTGGTTTCTAGGTCACAAGTTATTAAAGATAGCAAATCATATTTGGTAAGTTTGCCATTCTGTGTAATTATGAAATGTTTGTTTAATTCATAATGATTATGTGGCATTTTAGTTTAAGTCGTCTGTTAGCGTTACTGTGCGGTGTTTGTTTGATAATCTCCAGGTTTGATTTTATAACAGTCTTGATAATTATTATCATTTTCATTGCCATTATATTACTGATATTGCTTTAGTATACCCATTTTAGTTCAATTAGGTTTTATGGAGTTTAAAGTTCAATGTTAGGAAAGATGAGTGCTTACACTTTAATGGCAATTTATTGAACAATTGAAAAAGAATGAATAATGATTGAATTAATCACATATTTATGCCTATTTATTTGTTCACCCATTCTTTCTGTCGTAAGCTTCTAGTAAAGGCCAGAAATAAGTAAAATTGTTGTTATTTTGTGAGTCTGATAACATAAAAGTTGGTGATTATAAATACCCAGACTTAACAAAGCAGTAAAGGTCATCCGTATGGATATCTAGGGCTCGTCTCTGCAGGTAAATGTGTCAGGTACGTCCCAGTGTTTCCGTCACCTTGAGATCTTGCGATTCACCTTCCAAATTCCACCACTTCTATTATCTATTGATGACCCCCCCCTTGTTAAACTTTACCGGTCCCAAGCAGCTGCGCAAGCCAAGCGTTGTGCTAGCCAGCAAGTGCTGAATACTGTGCAGTACCCGTTGATGAGCCAAGATGCTATCTGTGAGGGTACGATCAGCCACCCACTGAGGCCTGGTGGGCTGGTAAACTCCGGAGGCCATTGACAGTGTCAAAGCACTTCTGACCCTACCTGCCATCCAGGTGCACGCCTGGATCGTAACATGTTTTTAAGATTATTTAAGCTTGTACTTTCAGCCCAGTCTTAATGATTGCAGTAGTTTAGATATTTAGATTCTATCTCATCTTATTAAGGTACCTTTGAATTATATCTCAAAGTAATACACAACATCATGAGTTTCCAGCTGTCACTCGAGCAATGGTATGAATGTGGCAAGGATGTAATAGGGTCATGACAGTGGGTAATAAGGGTGAATGTATTTTAGTATCTTGTTTCTCTTACCTTGTATTTTTGGTGTTGGATTGTTGAAAGTTATGTTGACATTACTCTTTTATCCCATTTTTATAGTATATATCTCTAAGTAGTTATTATGTACAATATATATTAATATTATTAAATATATTAAATTATTTGATTAGTTTATATTTAATCAAATAATGGTTATATATATATTCAACTATGTTTGCTGTGTAGCACTCTATAAACAAGCACTAAACAAAAAGATAAATAATAATAATGCTTAAAATAG